ACCTCTGACCTTTCGGAGGATCACCGGTGCTTCTATGCTGGGTCTGGTCCATGATGCTGTGGTGTTCTTGCTGGAGCAACTTCAAGGAGCCCATCGCTGTCAGCGCCATAGCTTCCGTTTCTTTAAACAGTTCAGCCAGGAGGACGACCTTCCTGTCAATCCAAGTGGTTGTGCACGCTCCGAGCTGTACCTTAGGTATGTTGACTATCTATTGTCAAATTCTTTTTTTTTTTTTTTTTTCTAAATCTGGGTGAAAACAGAGTTGAAATCATTTTAAAAAGTGTGATGTTTTAACTTGTATTTTTATTTGACTTTTTGTATTTTACATTTTAATGAGTTGATTGTAGTATCCATAACCATCCAGACCTGATATTTCTTTCTCTCAACAGGAAGTCTACATTTGATATCTTTAACTTCCTGGCTTCTCAGCATAGACAGCTTCCTGACATTGGGCCGTACGATGATGAGGAAGATGAAGTTCTTTTGAAGTCTACAAGGTCAGGTTTCACAGAATTGTAGATTTTTCCTGGGTTAAAATGTTGTCTCAACACTTTCCAAAGCACTATTTCTTTCTGAAGTTTACAACTTACTTTTGACTTTCTTTTTCTGAGATTTGGTATTGACACTGGAATGGTGATTTTTTTCTGAATTATCCTCTGCTCTTCATTTAGACGGGCTACTAGTTTGGAGTTGCCCATGGCCATGCGCTTCAGACATCTGGAAAGGACATCCAAGGAGGCTGTAGGCGTGTACAGGTCAGAACAAAATGACATTTGCTAAGTCTATGCATGCTATTTTTTTTGTTGGGTTGTGTCATGAAGGACTGCCAAGGGACAAAAATGTTTGGTTTTAATATTTTTGGTGAAAATTAAATTATAAAGCAAGGAGTTGCAGTCAGAAATTTTAATGCAGTGCGTTCAAGTTTTTTGGCAGTCTGCAACTGCACTTGCTTCAAGAACTGATGAGTAACTTGGGTGTGTCCAATCAAATGATGTAATTAAGCTGTGGCTCTGGCTTTCACATTGCTCGAAAACAGCTGTTGCTCAGATAAGTTGGAGTAAGACTACAGCTGTTCTGTCTGGCTTTAATTAGACACAGTCGAGTCAAGTCAATATGAAAATCTTAGTATGTTAGTATACCAACATTTGCTATTCAGAAGTAAACACAAAGTACAGCCGAGGCTGATTATAAACCAGCGTATTGGATAAAATACGAAAAGATTTTTGACCACTATCAAACATTTTCTGTTAGACATGTTAGACGTATCTGTGTGCTAGCCCACTGTTTCAATACCATAATGAAATCTTTTATTTTTCACCTTATTTGCACGAATGATTCAAGTTACTGTATTTCAGCCCATATGGGAAATTTCACATCCAAAATCCCAAATTGCACCATACCAGACTCCACGCCGCCACAATTGACACATCATCATTTTGTGTGTCTGTTTCAGGTCTGCTATCCATGGGCGCGGCCTTTTCTGCAAGAGGAATATTGAAGCAGGGGAGATGGTTATTGAATATGCAGGCATCGTCATTCGCTCAGTGCTCACTGACAAAAGGGAGAAGTACTACGATGGCAAGGTTAGTTGGGTTACTGTTTCTTTGATCACTTTCACCCTAGGTCAGTTGTCTACAACAACCGTATCAATGAGTTTTATTTTTACCTTCGCAGGGCATTGGCTGTTACATGTTCCGCATTGATGACTTTGATGTGGTGGATGCAACCATGCACGGTAACGCCGCAAGATTCATCAACCACTCCTGTGAACCTAACTGCTACTCTCGAGTGATCAACGTGGAAGGCCGGAAGCATATCGTCATCTTTGCTCTTCGGAAGATCTACAGAGGGGAGGAGCTCACGTACGACTACAAGTTCCCCATTGAAGACGCCAGCAACAAACTCAACTGCAACTGTGGGGCCCGGCGATGTCGCCGTTTCCTTAACTGAGACATCCCTTGTATGTAAAGGAGAGGATCCTGTTTACTAGTAAGCCTTAAATTAAGGTGGCACTGGATTGGGCTTGGGGAGGCAGTGGGCAGTCCGCACAGCAAGGGAATTAGCCACTATGAGACAGGAATATTTGGTGGTTCAGAAGTGATACATGGACATTTTATCGATTGGAATAGTATAAGAAGAGGACGAAGAGGAGAACCTGCACAGAAAATGCATTAACCTTTTGAGAAGTTTCTTGCCTGATATCTGTTCACACGGTACTTCTGCCTGTGAAGAGTCCAGACAGCTGTTAATATTTTGGAGGAAGGGGTTTTGGTGTTCATAACAACAGAACATTTGAACCAGATGTGTAAAATGTTAGGGGTTCCTGCATCAGTGTGGACGACACCAACAATATTCCTTTGATACACACGTCAAGCCTTATCTGTTTGAATCATTGCTGAAAACCTATAGCTAGGCTTTGAGAGATTCCTTATATGTTTTATTCATTTCTGGGGGTGGGGGGGGGTGTAAGTCTGTCTATATACACTTGTAATCATGATTGCTCCATCCTCCAGTGATGGGAACATTATAGCCCCATCTGTGTAGTGGTGAAGTCAGTTCTTGAGCCATACATTCACCGAAACCTTCATTTTGTGTGTTTTATCTTACATTTAACACTTCTCACGTTGTTAATATTTCTTCTTTTTAGACTTTTTCTTTTTTTGTGAATAACAACAACCATGGTGCTAAGCTTTGAAAGGTCTTTAAAGTCTTTAGTTTGGACTAAGGTGTCCTGCAAATCAGGAATTGTTTAGCTGTTCATTCACCCTGCTGAGACCATTTATCTTAAATTTATGCACTCGAGCAGTACTCTTCTCATCATTTTAATAGAAAGTGTCTGCTAAGTTAGGTCTGCTGTTTTCTACCCACTCTCTTCCTGTGTTGAGTCTAAAATAGATTATTGCCATGCAACGGTTTCAGTCAGTAAAATTGTGTCATATTTATAAAGTATGTAGCAAACACTACCCAAGCCAAAAGTGAAGAGTTGTGGTGAATATCAGTTTTTTAAATATATATTTTATTACTCTCTTGGCAGATGCTCATTACCTATTGCAATAAGACTTTGCTGCCCTACAGTTGCACATAACTAACCATCAAACATACAAAATATCTCCATCTTTGTAAAAACCTGCTACAGTTTATCTCTTAATCAGGGAGAGCATCGGTATAAAGCATTGCCACTGAGTGTGTGTGTGTGTGTGTGTGTGTGTGTGTGTGTGTGTGTATTCAGCTCCTGCACCAGGCTTGAGACTTTCTAGATGTTGCTGTTGCAGAAAACGTTCAGCCTAAAATGGAGCTGAGAGAATGCAATCAGCACCTTAAAATAATGTTTAATGTTGTTCTTAGTCAATGTTCAGTGCTGTCATTGATGAGGCTAATCTGATTCACACACTGTTAAAATTGGTAGTTATATTTATTCGTGTTTTGATTCATAATTTTAAATGGTAAAAGGTTGTGCTTTGTACAAACGGTGGCGGTCTGGTGTATTAGGAGATCTCCACCATTTGTATTTTCTTTTCTCTTTTTTTCTTTCTTTTTTGTTTATGAATGATGTCCTTTGTTTCACTAATTTACTTGAATTTTCTTTTGGGGCAGTTGTGTCATGCATTTAAGCTGTTATGACAGAAATTGTTCTAAAGCAGGTATTTTTAAAGAATCATTTTTATTTTATTTTTTGTTATGGTAGATTACTGACGGTCTTAGAATCAGCCACAGGAGTAAAGTGAGCACTGTTTGCCTCCCCAAGCCCATGTTCATCTTTTTTTTTTCTTTTTTTTTCTCCCTTTATCTCTTCAGGCTTATTAGAGCAAATTTCCATTGTGTTTTGTCTTGATCTTAATCCCCTTTCCCTTCTTGCATGTCCAATCACTGGGATGGAGCCCAGATTAACTTGTGTCAATCACCTAGCTGACAACAAGAGCAGAGTCACTCCCAACTCCTTGCAAGGATTCTACCTCAGCTGTTTACACAGATGTTTGGGAATACTGATGCAAAAAGAGAGGATGATAATTTAAGTGTAGGTGGTTTTAATGTCCTGCAGAGCTTGTGTGTGTGTGTGTGTGTGTGTGTGTGTGTGTGTGTGTGTGTGTGTGTGTGTGTGTGTGTGTGTGTGTGTGTGTGTGTGTGTGTGTGTGTGTGTGTGTGTGTGTGTGTGTGTGTGTGTGTGTGTGTGTGTAATGAAGGATGCAAAGCACTTGTCAGAACCTTAAGTTATCATGACCATCTCTCCCAGAATCTGTTAAGAAAGCTGTATGTTATATATACACACATATATATATAAATATATATATATATATAAATAGTAGGGTTATTTTAAAGTAAGTGTAAAAGACATAAAAATGAGAAAATATGTGATCTTTAAATTTACGTCTTTGTTACCATGTACAAATAAACCTTGAGTTTGTAAATATTTGTATACATATTTCTAAACCTGTTTAATTTTTCTATGCACTTTTTTATTTATAATGTCATTTGCTTAATAAAGATGTTAAGATGTTTGAACAAATTCCATGTTTTATTATGGAAGATCAGAGTAGAGAAAAAAAGTGGTAATGTGAAGCAATAATCATTAACTGGAATGTTACACAATGCTTTTTTAAGAACAAAATTCACAGTTGTTGAATAATTAGTTGGATTCTGTAATGTTCATTAATGTAAAATGAGTGGTTAACATGATTTATGGAAGATTTAAATATAGAAGCTGTCTGGAATTCAAGAAAGTAACAAGTATGATCATGTGTATAGAAATGCAGGCACCTGAAGGCTCAAAAAGGCTTACAAATTATAATTATAATTAATAGATAAGTATCCTCCTATGCTTATGTAATGCAGCTTGTGAGTATCTCCTGTCTGATAATTGCCTATGTCTGAAATCACTCCATATTCACTATACAGTTCACTATATTTACCCCTTGTTCTGTTTTGGAATTTTTTTTACAGAAGTAAAATGCCAAGTTAGGTCTGCTGTTTTTCAGAAGTAAAATGCCAAGTTAGGTCTGCTGTTTTTCACCCACTTTCTTCCTGTGTTGAGTTTAAAATAGATTATTGCCACTATCTAATATTTAAAAAGACAGTAACGTGTCTTTAAGACGTACAGTGTAAACATGAAGAGTATTGGTGAATATCAGTTGTTTTAGATATATATTTTACTACTCATTATATAGTGTTCTCACAAATTCCCTATAGAGTTGACCACAGGCATTTGACTTTCCTTTGTGTTAACCTTATGTCCAAACTCCTAGACTTGAACAAAAAAAGTCCACAGCATGTACACTTCTTTATGCTAACAATCCCACCATGCAATGTGCCACATTTTATAGATAACTTTGTGTCCAAAATATTCATTTACTGCTCTTTATAAGCTAAGCTATTAAGTGCCTGTAATAAGGGAGTGATTTCAGAGCCACATAAGACACAGCAACTAGCTCTCTTTCACAAGCTGAATAGTCTTTTGTATCAAACCACTCCCTACACTTCCTTCAACAATCCTCCTTCCCTGGAATTTATTGTGGGACAGTACTTCTGGAACAGAACAGTACTGTTGAATGTTACAGAAAAGAGCAGAGAAGGGGAAACTGTTTTCATTCCAAATCAAATAGCAATAGGCTTTTGGCTACACATCCATCTTGTTCAGTTTAAGTTTGGTGAGAACAGCGATTGCATCATTGCGCTCCATTTTTCTCAGAAGCTTGGCCAGGTGGCCTACGGCCCATTCAGGGTGCTTGCTGGTGACCCCCTCCAACACGGCTTTTAAGGGGCTCTTACTGTCCTTCATAGAGTAGGTGTAAGTAATCCAAGAGGAGGGGAAAGAGCAATGAGACGCCAGATGTTTGGTGTTCTTTACTCCGTGGGTTTCTGGATCCAACAAAATGACCAGCTCTTCCAGAACATCCAGGTTGTCCAGCACAGTCTGTAACGGTGCTGACAGGATGCTAGGACCTACAGAAGGAAAAACATGCTTTTGTATATTTAATTTGTAGTCATGGTTCAGCACAGTTGGTACAACATGTTACCATTAGATGTTAGTTGAGCATTATAAGCTCCACAGGCATAAGATAAGATATGTACTTTATTAATCCCCTATTGGGAAATTCTTTTTTCACTTTTTTATACACACACAGGCTGAAATACACAGTTCATCCACTTGTGGATATGCAGTGCACCAGTCAACACTCTGTATTGCGGTCTGTGGAACTTGAACCGACGACCCTCTGGTTCCCAAGCCAAGTCCCTACACACTGAGCTACGGCCGCCAAAAACAAGGATGTATAAAACCATTTTCCTCTGGGTGTTAATAATGTCACAGGATGCGATTTAAAACGGATAAAACCAGAGACTGACTCAAACGTTTACATGGCACATTTAGAGATAATAGTGTAAAGTCCACTCACTCAGGATGTCCTCCAGATCATTGTTACCAGGTGGAGCAGAAAGAGAGGAGAACCCCGCCTTGATGTATGATGATCTTCTGTTATAACTCAACACTGTGCTCTGACCTGAGTTATTTTCAAACACAAGGAGACACACACAGCTATAATCAGTGTCACACCCACCCCATATTCCCAGCTATTAAATTACACTCCAGGGTGATGTTGTGTTTTGCTCTGTAAAACCGTACTGCACAGCTTCCCTGTCTATTGGCAAGTCTTCTGACTCAGACTTTGTTTTAACCTTTACTTTAAATGAGCAAACCTCTTTTCCGTTTCATGTATATCATGCAAGCAAATAAGGCAGCAATCATGATGGAAATTAGGATAGCCAGTGGTAGTCCCCCTGCAAAGATAACAAAAGGTCAAGGTTAAATTAAGTTACGACACATTAGAAAGATGTGTTCCATTCTCCATAATAGTATATGTTTAATTTACATTGCATTAAACTTCCAGGATGTGGGTAGGTGACTGATGGTAGAGCTCTCACAGTCGGTGCGTTTGTTGCCAAGCTGGATGCTCGGTTGGTCTGAATCTGAAATGAAAATGATCGTACACTGTTGAAGCTGAATTAAAAAGTCTCACATTAAAAAAAACGATCCGTCATTTTAAACCATTTTCTGTCTGGTTGCACTTTGAGCATAACAATCTACTGTAGAGGAAAATGTTATTGCTCTCATATTCTTTTGCCAGTAGCCTATTCTGTACTAGTAGCGTATTCTTTTTTTAAAAGAAATTTGAACTTTGTAGACCCAACTGTGAGGAAGATGATGAGAAGAAAAAAGGCAGATGATGGATTAATAGTGCAATTCATGGTTTTGTAAAATGCTTTAAATTATTTTCCTTCTATTTTCTTTCACACACACACACACACACACACACACACACCTATAGTGACTTAAATATCATGACACTGGGGAATTTTTCGGTGTGGGTTCATTTCCTCCTCTAATGAGTCATCATTTCCAGTGTTTGTACCTCTATACACACACTCCAACATCATCTTCCTGCTTTATATTAAATATGACAGCGATAGATTACCGTTGACGCCTTGGTGAAAGCGGGCGAAACATTTTGAGTTGTCGATGGTCCCTGAGGAGAGAAACAGACTGTCAACCAGCTTCCAGCCCTCCATTGTAGTAACAACATCATAACGGGCCTACTCACCCTGCCTGCTGCTTCCGTCGTCCAATCCCTACAGAGAGCAGAAAAAGAACTAGATGTAGGTTATGGCTTTTCTAATACTTAACATAACGACAATATAAATGCAAATTATATTCCCCTCCCCTGTATTTCTAGACAATCGCCTTAAAGTGTTGTTGTTTTTCTACCTTGTGTTTTCATTTGTCCAGGGAACTTTCTTACCTTGGGTCTCGGCACTTGGTGTCGGTAGTCGGTGTGCACTCGCTCACCGTGACCTGGCCCGACGGACAGACTGTGCAGGTCCGACAATAAGCCGTGCTGCCATCATTAAAAGTATTGGCTTTGCACTTATCATGGGGGACCTCGTGTCGCCCTCCGTAGTCATCATAGCCACAGTTAGGAGTAACTTCATACCCTATTGTTATAAAAAAAAAAAAAAACAGTGCAGGCTAACATTACATAACGTTACATCCTATAATAACAATGATAAAAGGCCTACCTGGCTTTAAAGGACACGGCACACAAATGTGAGAATCAGGGTTCCAGCGGGTTTTCAGATCTTTACACTTTCCAGAGTAGCCCATCGCGACTTAACTGCGCTCAAGTTCAGGACTACAAACCTTTACCGTCGATGTAGCGCCTCCCACAAAACCTTCATCCTCTCTGACAATCCACAGAAACACTCCGAGCCAGCACATTTTCAGACAGTGTTGTTTGGAGAGATCTGTTTTTATTTTTATTCATTACATGTGCTTTTGTTTTCTCGGATATGGGGTGTCGAACAGGCTTTTAAAAAAGAAGAGTGGATTTGAAGTAAAGTTCGTATTTCGTTATGACCTCGTCTGTCAGAACTAAATTGCTGCGTGTGCCAAAACTATCTCCAGTTAAATCTGACAAATCTAAAAAAAGTCCCCAGTTTTACGGAAACACCTGATAAAGTCAAGGCTGCGGCCAAGGATAAAATTTGAGCTTTCTTTTGAAAAACAAGTTCAACTGAGCCTCAAAAATACCGTCTTTTTCTCTTTTCTTTCCCAGCAGCCTTTGTTATTTTATATAATTTCGATTAGATTATTGTAATTCAACGTGTTAAGACAAAAAAAAAAAAGAACTAGCAACAAGTGAGACGAGCCTCTATTTTATTCTGTTTTATTTGTAATATTTTTTAGCCGGATTGTCCTGGTTCAACCATGTAAAGCACTTTGTAAATCTGTGCTATAAAAGTTGATTATTATTACACATTTTCACATTTATTTCAGTAACATTGTAGTAATACAGTTGTGCTCCTAAATGGCAGAATTTGTGAAATATTAGCCTCTTTTTTCAAAAAATATGGCTGATCGTGTAGGAAACCTTTCTTTTATTTAGGGATAGTGGTCAGATGACATAATTTTGTGTGCTCTTTTTTTTAAATCATAATGATACCTAAAATCACCTAATCAAAAAACTTTACATACACTGATCAAAAGTTTAGACACCATTGAATGTCTGGCCTAATAATATACACACACGTTGACACACGCAGGCTTAAATGGCTATTGTGGGAAGGTTTCTGTGACTTGTTGATCGTTATTAGTGTCTGTGTATAGCCAGTGAGTTTCTTAGCTCTTGAGAGATCCCTGCACATTTCATGTAAAGGCTGCACTGAATCTGCTGGATACTGAGCCATGGGGAAAGCAAAACAACTGTCAAAGGACCTCAGAGAAAAGGTAAAGTAGTTGAACTTTATAAATCTGGAAAAGGATATAAAAAGATCTCCAAAGATCTGAAAATGCCAATCAGCAGTGTTTAAACTCTGATAAAGAAGCGGAAAATTAGGGGTTCTGTTGATGCCAAGACACAGCCACAATTTCAAGAGAAATTCGTCAGGGTGCAAAGAAAAACCCACAAGCAACCTCTGCTGAAATACAGGCATCTCTGGTGAAACATCGTGTGGCTGTTTCAAGATCAACAATAAGGAGGTACCTAAATGGGCTGCATGGTAGAATCGCCAGAAAAAAGCCTTTACTTCATCAACGCCACAAAACAGCCTGCTTACACTATGCCAAACAGCACCTACACAAGCCTCAAAACCTCTGGAACAAGGTTATTTGGAGTGATGAGACCAAAATTGAACTTAAGCAAACGCTATGTTTGCAGAGGAGTCAACAAGGCCTATGATGAAAAGTACACCATCCCTACTGTGAAGCATGGAGGTGGATCTTTGATGTTTTGGGGGTGTGTGAGCTACAGCAGCACAGGACATTTAGTTAAAATTGATGAATGCAGCATGTTATCAGAAAATATTGGATGACCGAGAGCTGTACATGGGACGCGCTTGGACTTTCCAACATGACAATGATCGGAAACACAAGGCCAAGTCAACCCTCCAGTGGCTCCAGCAGAGGAGAGAGAAGGTTCTGCAGGGGCCATCACAGTCTCCTGACCTCAATATCATTGAGCCACTTCGGAGAGATCTCAAACAGGACCTGGAAGCTTTTTGCCAAGAAGAATTGGGCATCTTTGCCACCTGAGAAAATAAAAGGCATCTCAGTATTTTCTTTATTGCTATGTTTTGTTTAATGATTGTGCTATTCTGTGATGCCTTATAGTTTCATTTGAAGCCCACTTAAAATAAAAAATATGTTTTTGGCTCGCTCACTCATGTTTATAGAATGGTACTGACAGGGGTATGTACATTTATGAGCACAACTGTAATTATAGCATGGCTTTAATTGCATAAGTCAATAGGCCTACATGACATTTCCTTTTTTGGCTTACTTTTTTACTTCTCCTGTTTTTGACTTAAGAGAAATTTAGTCATCATGACAAGTTTAAAAAAAGAACACATCATCTTGAAACAGCTCAGAGACTAAACCGAAAAGCATGACAGAAGTAATCCAGTATCCAGACGGTGCTTAGGCAGAGCCAGTGGGTGGGTTGGTCAGCATCAGGAAGACAATAACTAACACTAGAAAACGAGACAGATGGTGGAAATGGCTTGTATACTGCAGGACTGGTGTGGGAAGTAGGGGAACAAGAAGGATAGGTGTGGGCATTAAAAAGAAAGAAAAACACTAAGGACTTCAAATACTCCAATCGCAAGGTTATTATAGGTCACATTATTTGGAGCAGACAACAAGGCTGACGTGTCTGCATGTATCAGAGGGTTTAACTGACCTTTAAAAAGACTGAGTTCATTTTAAGGTGCTATCCTCCTAGTTGTAAATTAACTTTAACGTTAATAATCTTCTCACATGTCCTCACATCTTGCATCAATAAAGGAACCTTGGAGCGCAAATGATCATTTCCATGTTCTGCTGCTAGTGTTTATTGCTTTTGCATTATATCCTGGTGTGAGAAGAGACTATAACTTTCAGATTAGAGGGTCCCCCGGATACACTGGGACAACAGTGAACATAGGAGCTATGGGACCTCCAGGGACCACTCATAATGGGACAAGATTGATGGCGAACTTCCATACCCTGTTAACCAGAATATATCATGGTTGTCAATTCCACACCTTCTGGAGTAGAAATTTAGTGTGAGAGCTGCATGTACGTAATATATGTTAATAGTTATCTAAGATCTAAGAACTCATTTTTACAACATTGTTCTTTCTGCCAAAAATGTCTACAAAGCAACTGAGACTTGGCAGGCTGCTCAGAAGAAAACAGGAAATGAAATGGGACCATTTGTCCAAGTTGGCTTAAAAGTTGAGACTGGAAGTTATTTTATTTACGTTGGAAGAGTAGTAGTAGTAGTATCACATTTCAGACATTTTGTCTCCCTGAACTTAATGGACAAAAAAACATTGTGTGACGGGTTAGAAAGCAGCTGTCTCCTTTTATCTTCCCAGACAGAGACCAGCTCCCTCCTCTTCCTTTCCTGAGTCTGCAACAACAGAAATCCAGATATTCCCTGTCGGGGGAAAATTAGCTACTTCCATTTTGTACCTGCTTCTTTTTTCCATCGGTGCTTACCAAAAAAAGCTGTTGTTTTATTATATAGTTTTACACTATGGGCCCTTTGTGTCATGAACAGCAGTAAAAAAAAAAGTACAATTAAACTGTCAGCTTTATGTCTTTGTGATTCTTTTTTCTTAATGCATAGAATTTTATTTTAAATTTGTAATTCAATTACGTCTATTAAATCTACTTCACTCGAAATGCACTATACAGATGAAGCCTGACCGTCAAATGATTTATTTTATGTGTACTTCAGATACTACTCTACAACCTCTGTGATTATGAAAAAGTTTCTTCTCTTCTAGCCAAAGATATGGGGGGGGGGTATATTATTTCAGACTGTTTTCCTGTCTGCCAGAATTTGTACCCCCCCTCAAAATGGATAGATAAAACCTGACCATCAAATGATCTTTGGCTAGAAGAGAAGAAACTTGTTCATAAGAGGTTATAGAGTAGTATCTGAAGTACACATAAAATAAATCATTTGATGGTCAGGGTTCATCTGTCTATTATAGTACATATCGAGTGAAGTAGATTGAAGCCAGAAAACAATCACAGTGATCTTGATTTTGGATATCGACGTTTATTTAGTTCGACAAATTCCATACCAGGACTTGAACTACAGCGTGTTATGTCAAATCACATGAGGAAATTATCGCCTTGGTTTCTCCGTTCAGTACGTAGTACGACGTTACCACGTACAAAAGAATAAAAGCATTTATTTTGATGGGTGGGCCATGTTGCAAAAGCTCGTAGATAATTACAACACCAGAACATTGAATTAAACAACGCAATTGTTGTTAGTTTTCATTTACTTGAGTGAAAGCAAGCGCAGCGCTGTTTCTCCGCCTTCGCTGAATGAATGCGCGCTGCCGCGGCCAGGGGAGACACTTTCTGTCGGGGATACCTACAGGTGATCGAGACCTGGAGACGGGCAGGATGCAGCAGGCAGAATTGAATTCCTTTCAGGTAAAGAGAGTTTTTGACGGCGTTGAATGCAGTCCGTCTTTTTTTTAGCTAGAGCAGCGCTAATATCTGGATACACCGTCAGCGCGGAGCCGCGGTAATCCAGCTGGTGTTGTCTGGCCCATCTGATGAGGACTTTTTTTGGTCCTTCTCGCTCCCTTCGGGTATGTTGATGGTCCTCAAATTAGAGGGCCTAGACCAGGCATGGGCAAACTACGGCCCGCGGGCCCGTTAAGCTTTTTAATCCGGCCCGCCTGACTTGTTCAAACTATATTATTAAATTTAATTATTATTAAATCGCATTCATTTTGACTTCCCTGCAATTACCACGTTTCCCCATTTGGCGCCCAATGACCCTCGTTGGAGTGTGGTGTTTTATGCTGCATTCAGGTGCTCCTTGGAGTATCCTAAAAACATTCAGTCATTTTGATTGGCGATTTGGTTCTTTATTTACGGTAAAATCCCAAGCCGTTGTTGATAAATCACTTTTCTAACACGTCTAGATCAGTTATGTGGACGTTGTTATTAAAAATGTTTGAGCTAAACGTTGACAGGCAAAGTTTTTTAAATCACAAAATATTGTTTGCTGACATTTAGATGACGAATATGACATCTTTCCCAGATCAACTCGGCACTTGTTTATCTGATGTTTCCAAACGCACTTGAATGCAGCATGTCTCTCAACTTCACTTTTTCTACATTGCATATTGAGCCTTTGTGTAAAAATGGGCGGACCAAAGAAAATAAA